GGCGGGATGGCGATGCACCTCCTCGATGGCCGCAGCGTGCACCTCCTCAACGACGACAAGCAAGGTGGCGATGGGCGCAGCAGGGTGGCGGACGGCGACGGCGGGAACCACGACGGAATGGCGGCGACGGCGAGGCGGGAAATCGAACTGGAGGAGGTGGGAAACACTGGGAACTGCCTCCAGGGGGTTTCAAATTTCGAAGCCCCAAGGCGGTCTAGGCTCGAGCGCAGGCCCAAAATTTTTTTTGGCGGCACCAGCCGCATTTTTCAGTAGGGGCCTCGCACCTGCCGTTTCGAGTCCCGCCCTTTTTTTTTGGGGGGGGGGGGGGGGGTATTTCTTCGTCGGCCGTACACCGGTACGCCGCACGGGTCCGGTCCGGCGGTCCGACAGACGTGCGGGAACGCGCCGACGACGTACGCTTGCAAGTATGGATTGATCTCCTCAGCCTGTCCTTGGCTTCGAGATGACGACCAGATGTCATATTCAACTTGATGCCATAAAGTTGAATGGTGAATTTCTTCCAATCTGCGTTAATGAACCGGGTGTCCCAATCAGTCACCAGAGTTTTCGGGGGACCAAATTGCACAATATATTATGATCAGACTCACAAATGACCTATTCAGTTGGTATGTGAGGTGGCAAAGGAATCAGATTCAGAAATTTGGAAAAGTGGTCGACAAACACTGTGACTTGAGATTCCCTATCTTTTTTACCTTTTTTTTTTTTTTTTTTTTTTTTTGAATAATCAGTCCGAGGTGATGCTAGAGGTGCTGATAAGAGCAGACACCACTAACACACACGGGGAGGCTCCATCTATTGATGGGGAGCAGCACCTGCGGGAAACCGGGTCCAGCGTCCCTAAACATCATACTTGGCTGTTTGTACAGACATCAGATTGTTGCAACAGGCAGCAGCATGACCCGTGCCGGGAGGAAGGAGATGGAGCTACACAAGTCCCAGAAGCCTAGATTGGTTGCCTACGCAACAGCCAAAATTAGGTGGTAGTATACCCCAGTCCCAAAACCGCTATTAACTATCAGCCTTGGAGGCATGTGGTATCCCCTATCACTGGTTCCCAGTGCATACAGGCACCAAACCTCCCATTCCCCTACCTCCCTTCTTGGGCACATGTCCTGTAAATCATTGTACTACATCTTTCAACACACAGATTGGTAATCATAATTTGGCGGGACTGTGGCCATTAAACTTCTCAGTCTGGGGCTTCGCTATCCCATGGAGCTGCCTATATCACCCATTCCGACCTGAATCGCCCCTTATCTATTGGCCCAGCCTTTTTCAGCAGCCCCCCTTGTTTAAACCCTCTAAACCCTTTCAACCCTTTTACACCCGTCAAGCCTTACATCCTCTCAATATCCATTCATCCCATATCCTACAGCATCGGGGCCCCACCAACCAGGGAGCTGCAAACAGAGTACATCTGAATCGAGTTGGCACATGACAGGGTTGCTCGGTCTCTTTATCCCATCTCCAGGCCTGGATGCATTTGTCTTCATAGTGCCATCTGATGCTCCCTTTGTGGGGTGCTGTTTGCTGTTGTCCATTTCCCACCTGTTTGCTCGGGTCCTATAATTCCCGTCCTCTGCTTTGTTGTTCCTGTGCCGGTTTCTAGGCTGACCTCTTGCTGCTTGTCTTCTGTCCCTGTTGCCTTGTTGATGATGGTTTTGCCGAGTGTTCCGCTGTGTTTATTTCTCCCTTTGCGGTGTGATACTCCTATCCTCTCCCCTTCCTTTTGTGTATGTATGGGCATACCTGGGAGTCTATGTGAGTGAGTGTTGGTCTTCAGACAACAGACAACCATAATCATAAGAGTTGGTATCGGAGCGATTGGATCCAGACTCTGGAGCGATTGATGAGTTGGAGCGATCATCATCATTTGGCGAGTTACTGGA